TCCTTTCTTCACCGCGTTTTCTAAAACCCTTGCTCCTTTAAAGGGGGGGAACCCAAACCCCCCAGAATTCCCCGGCGGCTGGGGGGATTCTGGGGAGTTGAAGTCCACCCATCTTAAAGCGGCCAAGGTTGAAAAACACGGTGTTAAAGAAGGCACATTTCTCACTGCTCTGTTGGTTGCATTCACACAAAACAGTTAAGGACTGTTCTTGCAATGTGTCACCCATTAGGCTGTTGATGCGGAACTGTATGTTTTTAAAAATACCTTCTTCCACCAACAATCCAAACTGCAAGAATGTCATTTTCTATCTGCAATTGATCTTATTTCTGTTCGTTTGTTTTTTTTTAACCTGGGAACAGATTCAGACACCTTCAGTGAACCCCGGAGCCAAAAAGGGCTGGATCACTATCTGGATAGCCTCTTTGATCCTGTGCTGTCCTATGGGAAAGGGGTAAGACCCACGTCCTTCTCTCCCACACCCCCTAGATTCAAAAAAGGCCACCCCAGAGTATCTTGCATCTTATTTCCCATAGAAATCTGTTTTCCAAAAGCTAGTTCACCCCCTGAACCTTGGAAAAGAGATCGGACCGTGCATTGTGTCCCACAAAAAGGGAAAAATCAGGAAAAAATATCCGAAGCAGATGGGATTGTCATTTCTAACAACCAGTCTTGACTGAAGTATTATTGTACACTAACATTCCCAGGTTGTTTCCCAGAAAGGGTCCTTGAAACCTTAATGGAACTAAAAACTGCAGCTATGAAGTTGTTTAATGACTACACGGCATTTCTTTAGCATTCATTTAGCTAGGAATGCCTTTCCCCAGGATCCTCTTACTTGAAAATAAATTGGCCATGCACCCCTTGTCCACAGAAAGCCCCGTCAGAGCAGGAGCAGACTAATTCAAGGGAAGGTCAGAATGTTTCTGCCACGCTGAACAGGAACTAATTGAAAACATCATAGAATCATAGAATTAGAAGGGAGCCCAAGAACCATCAAGTCAAATTGCTTGAGGTGTGCAGAAAAACCTTTTAAACCATCCTTGAACGTAGGAGTGTCCACAGGGGAGGTCATTGCAAGTCAAGATGGCAACCATGATTGCCCAAAGTCCAAGAAATGCGATGCAGGTAAAAAAAGTGGTGGGACTTTGATCACACAGTCATGGCCCCATCTTGACACCCCTGCGTAAAAGTGGCTCTCCAGCCTCTTGCTAGAACCCTCAGGAGATGGAGAACCCACCACTTTTGGTAGGCAGACTTTGGTGGACTGAACTTACCAGCAGGAAGTTTTTCTTAATTAAATGAAATCTAGATAGCTGCAGTTTGTACCCATTATTTCTGTGGCCACAAAAAAACCTTTCTTGACCATCTTCCCTGTAATTTCCCTTTAGGACCTCAAAGACAGCTATCAGGTCTCCCTTCAGCGCTCTTTCCTTCAGCCTCTCTTCCTCATAAATTGCAGGAAGGAAACTATTAATTAACACGGCAATAGTCATGAAAAGCCAGACAAATGCATTGCCGACATATTGAAGGGAAACCAGATTGGTTAAGAACATATAAAGGAGCTCAGCTCAAAGCATTTTTTCACCCCATGTCAGTTCAGGCCTTGGGGGTCCTGAAGTGGAAGAGGTGCCTGTAGGGCTGCTTTGATTTGATTTCTGCCCTGCCTAGGAACTAGAGAAGCCAGCTGCCATCTCACGCAGGATGAAAGGGGGTGGCCGCGTTGGACAAGGTGACAATGGTGATGGTGTGACTCCTGTGGTCCCCCAGACCTCTGGTGAGTACAAACCGGGCTGCCTTATTCTGTATATTTGTTGAACAAAAATTTCTCTGCAAGCTTTTAGGGTGTACTAGTCTTCCCAGGGCACTTTACGAACATTTAGAAGTGCAAAACACAACAGTAACAATAATACCCATGACCAAACCCTACCATTGCCATCACCAGTGCTGAAATAAGGCATAGTAGGTCCAAATCAACTCAAGCAGGGATTAGAATAGAAATGGTTTGTACGAAGGCTGTCAGTGACTGAGAAGGAAATTCCAAAGACCAGGGGCCACCCCACCAAGAAGCCCTTGGCTAGATCTTACGGTTGGTGGTTCTGCTAGGGATGAAATCCATGAATTTCTGAATGCCAAGCGTTGGCTTGGCCAGGAAGGTCTGTTCTTTTTCACAAGCATCCGGCATCCTTTGGCTAACTCCTGCAATGCTATTTTCATCACCCCCATCACCACCACAGGAAAGGATGAGGAGACCCTGTTGACACAGCTGGCTTGCAACAAGCAGCAGGAGTCAGTGCTGGCTAGCGAAGGCAGGAACTGTCCGGTTGAACAAAAGGTACTTTACCGAAGTGGTGCTGAGAGAGCTGTGGATTTCTGAAAAGAATGACAGTATCCTGTACTGATTTAATTCCCTCCTGCTTTCCGTGTCAGGAGAGCAACCAGGATAACCTGGTCCCAAACGAGACCGGTTCCTACTCTTTCCTGGGATCAGTCCACCCGGCCAAGAGATGGATGCAGGCACTCTTAGTGCTTCCTGCCTGAGCGCAGGCACCAGCCAATGTCTTTGGACCAGGGTGCGCAAGGGTGTCCCTTGGCTCAAGGCCCACACCGCAAAGGGTGACAAGGCTACATTTCAAGACCGGGCAGGGCCTGAACGCCAATGTCAGACGGCGTTTCAGGTTCTGAAGGGATGCGGTGGTGCATTCGCCTCGGCAAATATTAAGGCACGCATTTTGCCCCCCAAAATCTCTCAACCTTCCTCCCTCACTCAATCGGGGCAAATACTTTGGCCCTCCCTACTCTGGAGGGTCTCCAGAGGCCACACAGGAGGTGTTGGTGGTTTGTAGGAGGCCCACAGACTACATTTTTTGCACCCCTGTTTCAGGATCACCAACTTTTCATCTGGGAAGGCTCTCATGGCTTGAGCAACGTCGTGTTTGTACGACCAGAAGGGCGCATGGCTAATACTAACCCCAGCCCTTCCTTCCTGTGGCAGGTTCATCAGACATCACCACTGGTCTCTACAGTTTGGGGGCGGCAGCAGCAGCAGGCAGCTAGGGGCACAGCGGCCGGTGCATCCTCCCCCAGTGGATTCAGGAACGCTAACCCCGGATCCCCCAGATGCAGAAGTCCTTCCAGGACCCAGAGGATGGGCCACTCGGCTTCCAGTTCTCCCACAGATCTACCTCTCCAGGTGAGACCATTAACCATGGTTATGCTAGGAAACAGAGGAGGCTGCAGAGGAAATGAAAGCGTGCCCACCTCTCTGGTTTCCCTGTTTTTGCCCTGAGCCCCGAGAAAAGAGGTCCACCCTCTCCTTAATAGGGGGAAGGCATCAGACGGGCTTCTCTTCCACCTGCAGGCCAAAGTTCACCACCACCTTTGTGACTTGGGTGATCAAAAGCAAACCTTGTAGTAAAAACAAGCCCCTCTCCCAAATTGTTCCAGGGGCACAAAGCCCCATCGCTGCCAGATCCCCCAGGAGGTCCAACAAACATATTTTTGCAGCATCCCTGGAGGGGCTGAAGCAGGAAGAGCTGCTGAGCACAAAAGGAGGTGGTTTGGGGTCTATGGTGGGGTGTGGATTCTAGCCAGTCCCTAGCCACCAGGGGTTCAGACCAGGTTAGAAAACTCTCCCTCTCCACTCCTCATTCCCAGGCAGACCCACTGGATAATGTAGAAAGTCAAGAGGGTGACTTTGGTGGTGATAAGCCAGATCCATTTCCAGAATGACGAGGCGAGGAGCTCGTCAGAAAGCTATCTAAGGGGAAGGGAAACAGCCCAGACAGACACCTTTTCAGTTTCACGGGGTGGGGGGCAGAAGTGAGGCACAATCAGACTTGCCAGCCCCCAAACAACCCCTGCCAGCTGGGCCCATGGCGAGGATGCCAGGAGCGGCTTGTGGTGGCATCTGGGCATCCACAGAGGCTGCGTCCACGAGCCGATCCCTTCTCCTTTTCTGCCAACTCTGTGCCTTTGTGCCCTTCTGGGCTGACCCAAGGCTGGCCGACATTGGATACCTGCCTCCCAAGTGGCCTCTGTATCCATTTCACTCATCTTGCAGGCTGGCATAGGCAAGTGCCGCCACTCTGGATCTTTTTCCGCTGCGTGTCCTCCAGGCAAGGACGGGCTTTCGATCCGCCAATCGGCCCTGGAGTGATGGCCCAGGTCTGGGGAACTGTGGGTGGAGGGGGAAGCAGCTTTACAGGGGGGTCTTCTTTGGCTCCCCGGATTAGTCGAATGCAAGTTGGTAAGAGTGGGCTGGGGTTCCGGGAGGGGCCCTGGGTTGGACGAGACAGGCCGAGATCCCTGCCCCGGGGCCACAGCGCCTGGCAGAAGCATGATTCCCAAGAGTAAGCGATTCTACCACCATCACCATCTCTTTGGCAGAGGGAAGCTGGGAGAAGGCTCGTGGATGGATCTGCATCATCTTTAGACGATGTCCAGAGGAGAACCATCTTTCAGAGACCGGGTAAGGAAGAATCAGAGGACTTGCCAGCTGCAGAATAAATGGTGCAGAAGATGAGATTAGTTTCAATGTTGCGTGCTTCATTTGAAAATTAACACTCATCGGTGGCAGACATTCCACAAGCAAGGCACAGACGTCTGCTGACACGCACAGAGGCTGTATTGACACAGCAGGCTAAAAGGGGTTGAGTAGTTGTGCTCCAACTTTTGAGGGATCTCAGAACAAGGCCTTTTGGATAAGCCATCATACGGTGGATCTGTTTGGCTACAGCATGTCATGGAACCCGGCAGTTGTGGCTTGTTCATCTGGGTTTAAGATTAAGCCTGTTGTGTGATTCACCCAATGTGTGCAACTCCTTTTATAAGGTCAGTTGTTGCAAGTTAGAGAAGATCGACTCTTATCAAGCTAATACAGTTGGTTTGCTTTGGGCCCAGCATGATGTGGAAGCCCGGTTGTTGTGGCTTGCAAACATAGTTTGTGGCGTGACGCAATGTCTGGGATCGGGTCTTGAAGCTTCTCGGGCACACAAGCTTTTCAGCTTGAAACCCTCTGTGTCCTCCGACGATGTGTGAATGCAGCCCTTGGTCAACCCCAGCGAAACCTTCGTTCCAAGAATCGGCCACCGACTTACGCTGGTTTCTCTCCCTCCTCCGTGCGTAGGGTCTGGCTCCCGGTTCCAGGCTGGTGAGCTCGTCCGCCATTCGAAGCTGAATTCTGAGCACAACCCAGAGCCTACGCAGAATATCCGGAACATTATCAGGCAGTCCCAGCGACCTTTGCGAGTTCCAGAGCCAGTCAGGTCAGACCCGGTCCTCCAACAGCCTTCCGCCTCTTTCCCCCCAATCAATCCATTTGAAAAGGGGGTTGATGCCCACTCCTTCCACGTTTAGAGGCAGCGTATCTCTAAACGTCAGCGCTTAGGGAATGCTTCCAGGCCATCAGTTCTGTTTCTTAGAGTTCTACTTCGGGGCTTTGTTGGGAAAGGACACAACGGTTGTCAGCTGATTGATTGATTGGATTTGTACACCCCCGTTTGCCTCTGCCTGTCTTTTCAGAAAGGAAGGGGGGAAGGTCTTTGTGAAGAAAATGGATCCCCACGAAGAAGCCTTGATGATTCTGAAGAGACAGATGGCCCCAACAGGAGTACCTGTGCAACCCCTTCAGGTGCGGCCAGATGGCTGGCCTAGCAGACCCACTTGTTGGAGCCCCCCCAGCAAAACTGGCTTCGTCCATGAGCAGATGGTGCTTTCTGAAACCCAGCTAACCTGGTGGTTCTGCTGCTGGTAGGAAAATCGAGGCGGGTGAGACAGGACGGCCCAGATTCTCACGCCAGAAGAAGCCACTTCATAAACCAGGATTAAATGTAGAGAACTTTAAGCTGAGAAGAGAGCAGCCAAAAGTCTGCTAACTCAAAAATGCAGAGCTGAGATGAAGCCTCGGTAGCTGGTCCCTGAGCCTCCTGCTGTTCCTTTCATTTTTTTGCTGCCTCTGCTTGCTCACTGGCCCTCTTCGGCCACTGTAAAGAGTGGTGAGAGGGAGAAATTGGAGCATTTCCTTTGGGGTAGCTGCGCCAACTGATGCCAGAGAAAGAGCAAACGAAGGGGCAATGCTAGTGTGGAAATTGGAACCCTTAGAATGGAGGCGGGTACTTGAAAATCATCTTGGCCAAGGACCCCTGAAACTTAGGGCTGGCCCTGAGTAAGAAGGCAAGGTAAAAATGCAACCAGGTAACCAGGCTGAGCATCAGCAAAGGGCAGTGCTGATTCCCCCTTGGGTAATGTGTGAAATCCGTTCTTTGCAGGCCGTCCAAGAAACAGCACCAAGGGAGATCATTGCCATGGTGAGGCCAGTGGCTAGTGCCAAGGTAGCTGAGCCCCCTGCCATGGCCCGGCCTTTCCCTGATGCCTCTTCAGGTAAGAAAATACACCCTGCTCTCTGTCAGTTGGATTCCTGGCCTGGGAGAACCAATTTTTTGATGTGTGGCTCCCCCTGCCACACCAGACTCCTGTTTTTTCCCCCCTGCACTGAGTAGGATGATTAAAACCATGGAAAACAGATATTGTGAGGACCACGATTGCTTTTCGGGGGTAGGTTGACACACCTGCCACGTGGGTACTTTTGCCCTTGAGAAGGATGAGAACGAACAGTTGACTTTTCTCTTGGGCAGCCTCTGTCTCGCGAGAGTTGGCATCTGAGGGCGAGCAGGTCCAGACGAGACTTCACCGTCGAAACAGTGAGGAGTTTTATGGGTACCACAACGTCTCTTGGAAGATCTATCTCAGGAAAGAGGTAGGTGTTCATGGACCCTCTCTCTTTTGGGGAGAAAAGGGAAACAGACATTTCTTCTGCACCGTTTGCTGCTTTAAATATTAGAAAACAGCCCCCACAACACAGACTCAGGGCAGTCAACGAAAGGGCACCACACACATCTCACAACGGAACTCCTCATGCGACAGGAGGAGGAGGAGGAAGAGGAAGAGAGGTCTATGAATGGCCAGTAGGCTCTGATGGCTAGGCCTCCATATTCAGTAGCACTTTACCTTTGAGTTGCAGACAAACGTTCTGGAGAAAGCTGTTGCAGAGGTGCCCCGATTGTGGGCTGCCGTGCTGAAAACAAGATGCTGGACTGGATGCCAGACTGCTTTTTTACTGGCAGTCCCCAAAATCAGAAGGTCCTATCTTCCTTTTTCCTTTCCTTGCAGGTTTTTTACCCAAAGGAGAATATCAACAGCCCTCTTCTGCTAGACCTCCTTTTTCGGCAGGTGGGTGGCCTCTGGCATGTAGCTTTGCAACTGATGCTCCTCTAACACTGGTCACCTGAGAAGGTGTGTTCCAGGGTCCCTGGGCCCTCAGATGCCTCCCTGGGCAGGATTTTCAAGGCTGAATTTTTCTCTTGGGGAGGTGCAATGCTATTGCCACGTTTTTGTCAGGCCTAGCCCAAAGAACTCCTGGAGACCATGCAGGTTCAATCAGCAAGGTTTATTTGCCAGCAC